TTTCATGTCAATTCGGCGAACATATGATTTTTGTACAGTAGTTGTGGACTAAACAACATTATTTTGTTAAAACAGCCAGGTCGTGACTCACAAAAAAAAAGTGTTACTTTACTAACTGTAAGCTTGTCACTCAGAGTAACCTACAGTTAACTTAGGCTGGTGCCCCACGGGAACGCATACGGCAAAACGCATAGGATTAACGCAAACGCAATCGCCAAAAAGCTTCCGTCCACACGCAATATACACCGGATAGTGTCTGTTCACAAGAGACAGCTCCGTTTAGATCCAACCGCTGGAAAAGCTGCAGTACATATGCCGAGCCTGTACGTGGCGCTGTTCCTCCACAAAAGCAGCAACTTCCTCCACAAAAGCAGCAAAGAAGCATGGTTGTCATGGCTGCACTTCTGTTTATTCTCCGCGGTGGGGGCCGAGGGAACCGGGCAGAGTTTTTCGTCGGTCAACGTGTGTTAAAGTTTAAATCTTCCGGACAAAATTATGAAAGTGCCGGTCAAAGGTCTTCTTTGTTATTTATTGAGCTTTAAAACAAATGAATAACGACTCTATATAATAATAATAAAATACACGGAGCCTCTCTTTTTCCTCCCTCTCTTCTGACAGGGTCAGTGTCTGTCTCATGCAGCAGCTGATCCAGTAATGAGTGACCCGACAGTACAAATAAACATATTTATAACTAGTTTATAGGGATGCTCCGATCGCCAATTTTGGGGGCGATCGCCGGAATCAATATCGGTCCGATCCGATCGAGTGGGCGGGGCCTAAATGGAAGATTTAAACATCACTTTAAATCTTCCATTTAAAGTGATGTTTAAAACTCAGTTAATGGGGCTCATTCACTGGAGCTTCCACAAACAACAATCAACTTAATTATTACATTCAAATTATGTATATTATTCAAGTTTACATTCACTTTGGATAATACCACGGGAGAAATGAGCGGAAGCGCTCTCTTTTACTCTCTCTCCCTCTCTCTCTCCCCCTCTCTCTCCCTCTCCCTCTCCTGACAGCCCGTCAGTATCGTCTCATGCAGCTCGCTGATCCAGTAATGTGTGAGGCCGACAGTGAAGAATAAACATATTTATAATTATAACTAGTTTAGCTTGTTCCAGAGGTAGATAAAATAGCTAAGTGTGTTAGGTCTAACTCTTGTGTGTTTCGCTCCGCTCACCGGTCCGTCACAGCGGGTGGAGCTGCAGGATTTCTGCTTCACACACACGTTGCATACCGCTATTTTACTGTCTTTTTCGGACACCTTAAAATAATGCCAGACCGGTGAAGCCATTTTGGCGAGCTTGTTTTGCCGTGTACAGAGAAAAGTGTCATGTATTTTACGTCATGCGATCGGCCCTCGCGATCGGCATGTTTAGAGAGCACCGATCGATCGGTAGAGAGTGAGTATCGGCAGATCTCGATCGGTGACCGATCGATCGGAGCATCCCTACTAGTTTAGGTAGTTTGAGAGGTCATTAAAATAGCTAAGGGTGATGATCTGACTTGAAGTGTGTGTTTTGCTCCCGCTGCATCACAGCGGAGGAGCTGCGTGTCTCCGTCCTGTCAGATTAGACTTCACTCACGTTTATGTCCATATTGAGATAAAGGTAAATAATCTGAATTCAGTGTGCAGTTTACTTTGACGCGGGGGTGAGCAGCAGAGGTGGGGGGAGGCAGGGCTATTGTGTCATCATTATCACAAAATGATCGTATAGAGGCGATCACACGGAGCCGTTGGACCCCCCAGAGCGCTCCGTTCCCAGATCTATCCACCTTTGGACCCGTTGTCGTTTGCGGGGTCCATTTCTATCGTTTCGTTACGGCCTTGTGTGGCAAAAAGGGCTATACGCAAGAGAAATATGCGGATACCAGTGGCGTCGCCTGGCCTGGGCATCCGGGGCTTTAGCCCCGAATGTTTTTTCTGTAGCCCTGGACAATTCTCCCTCAATAATATAATACATTAACCGTGCTTTACGTGAACCTCATCATGACACGAGAGGACAGCAGCACTGTAATTTCCCGTGTTCAGTGAATGCAACAGAGGCATGACACCAGACCAATCAGAGAGTTGCATAGAAATAAACGTGTGCTTGTGTCATTCAAGCTCGGCTCTGTGTGGCAATAGCGCATTTAGTGTGATAGAGAGAGAGGGAGAGAGGGGGAGGGAGGGACCGGTGCCAGCATGGACCGGTGCCAGCATGGACCGGTGCTGTTAGCATCTGGTTAGCTAGCTGCACTAACGGACATAAGGAGCTGTTTGTTCCACAACAAGCTGGAGGAGAGTCCTCTCCTCTCAGACTGAGAGACTCAGGTGAGCTAAAGGACTCTCTGAGGGTTTAGATAGTTCACTTTAGTCTAAGTTATCTCAGTGGGTCTCAAACGGTTTGGTCACAAATTATTCAAAAGATTATTTCCGCGGCACACCTTCATATGATCATTATAGTTATACAAAAAATAAGAGAATAAATGAAAAACAGTTATGAAATACTATATGGCAGTAAAACAAGAATAGAGTTTAAAAGGGGAGTGATTAGTAAAATATCCATAAAGAAAAAGTACATCTGTTTACAGTTCTGCTTCATATGGGTGTTGAGAGAGGTATCCATAGATCTCTCCATGTTGCTCTCAAAGTGCACCAGATTGATGCATTTAACTTCAATATTTAAAAAAAAATCTTCCCGGGGGAACATCCCCCCGGACCCCCCTAGAGGAGGTGAGGTCCGCCCCCCACTCATAAAAAATATCACTTTACCCCTGCCTATATGCCGTGAGCTGATTATCGAGCCTTCATTGTAACAGTCGCGGGTGTACTGTGTGTGTGCGTGTGGGGAGTGCTGCAGTAAAAAATGCCACTGTAGTGCCGCCGCCACTGTGGGCTAAGCCCTGAATGTTTTCAGGTCCAGGCGACGCCCCTGGCGGATACAACCCGTTTTCGTTCCCGTGGGGCTTGGGCCTTAGCTGCTGGAGAAGAAAGATCAGGGGGGGGGAGAGAGCTGTGGCTGATGGGCCATTAGGTGTGTAAACACACAGCTGAGAGCTGCCGTTTCATTCAGACTGTTTAAAAAACGGTAACAACGGACTATTTTTCTTAGCGGATGCATGTCAATTTAAATCAATACATACAACTATTTTTTAAATCAATAAAAACATTTTCTAAATCCATAAAAGCATTTCAATTAATATTGGGAGTCATGTCGTTACTTTGTTGAGAATGTGGCCATGTAATAAGCGGGATAATGTGCAGCGACTTGGTCATTATGGGGAAAATAACACCCTTCATCTGCCTGACGAGGCTCCATTAAAATATAAATATTTTTTGTGAATTACTGAGTTTAGGCACGTTAATAACGTTTTAATGAAGTTGAATACAGTATATTCATATTTGTCAGTGCTTTCATGTCAATTCGGCGAACATAAACATAAATGATCGTGGTGAAGATGATGATTAAATTAGGATTACAAATCGAGAGCCGGGCTGCATTTCCTCCCGTTCGTTTCCTGATGTTTTTTGTACAGTAGTTGTGGACTAAACAACATTATTTTGTTAAATAAAAACATGGTGATGTTTTGTAAATGATTACATGTCTCTTATTTAGCACAGAGTATGATCCTATCCGTGACATATAGATCTTAACAAAGATCCGCTATACAATAGTACCAGACATACATCTACCGTACTGTATCAGACTTTATTTCACATGAGCTCCAGTGTGGAACCCCACTGCACCCCCTGGTGGATCAATGATCATTTGCAGCTGGCTTCATTATAATTACATTTATTTATCAAGGGGGCGGGCAATATTCACATTAATTTGTAACACACACGTAAGGGTAAAAGACAAACATGTTTAACAAATGTAATGCAAATGTAATGCAATTAATAAGCTTAAAGGTGGGGTAGGTCATTTTGGAGAAACCAGCTCGAGTGCGCTAGAATTTGAAAATACACAGCCGGAACAAATCTGCCACTTCCTTACAGAGCCCCTCCTCCAACACACACAAACGGGCACATGACCAATGAGGGCACGAGATAAGTTTGTGTACAGATGGAAAGCTGACAGGCAGGTAGGCCATCCAGTTATTTTAGCCGGGCCGGCTAAAATGATTGATCGTGCTTTTTACAGTACTACGGCTTCCACAGATGACATTTTTTTATGAATTTTTTGTCAAAGCACTTAAGATATTCATTGCTATCGGGATAGGCTCTGACGTCACTGTCGAGACGGCAGTGTCCGACTCCGCCTACTATGGGCTTCTCAGCAACTCTGCAGAAACCTATGGGTGGTGTCACGGACACTATGTCCATTTATATATACAGTCTATGATGGAGACTAATGCAATAAACATGTAATGGAAGCACTCGCTGCAGAATCTCCATCCATCCTTCGTTCTAAGCCCTAAACGTGGCATTATCAGTAAGTCAAGTTATTAATAACTATCTTAGCTACAGGTGTTTTATATGATTTGTGGTAATATAATTTTGTAGTTAGGATAATTATTATTTTTGTAAGAACTTGACCACTTGTTATTGTGTTATAGTTTGTTGCTTAATGCTGTGTAATTGTGCATTGCATATTTACCTGCAATAACCTGCTCTTGTAATAAGTACATTTATTTTGTAAATGTTAAGAACATATCATTGTTTTATGTGTACTTATGGAGAACTTTATTCTGTTTCACACTTCTTATCATTAAAATTCCTGCCAAATACAACAAATGCCTGTTCCTTGGAGGAAGGATGCTGAGGAGAGTTTAGGTGGCTGTTAAGTTCAATATCCATACGTTGAAACGAGAACAGTACAACAGTATTTATCCCCAATTTGCTCCCGTAGGCAAATACATAACATTTAATGTAAAGAACTAGTAGCAACTGAGTAAATGTATATAATGTTGCGGTCAGCAATGCATGATGGAACTCTGCGGAGGTTCCTTCACTTATTTATTGTTTCTGTATTATTCCTGCTCTGACCAGTCTGTTCTATCTCACACAGGCTCCGCCCTCTACTGGACTCTATGGGTACTACTCTCTTCAATGATACGCAAGTGTTCACACACTGAAGTTGTATAAACATAGCCGGCCAATCAGGGCGAGCCTACCTGAATGCGCGCGCAGGCCCACAGTATATAAGGCGGCTACGCCTCCTGACTGTCATCCTTTTCCTTTTCTCTTCAGCGAGCAGGACAACATCTGACAGAGAGAAGTAAACGTGAAAGAAGAAGAAAGTATTGTACCGTCATGGATTCGCCACTCCTAGAGACCCGGGCCTGTCCTTCGTGCCCTGGCTTAATAGCGGTGCCGATCCCCACCACCTCTGCTTCGAGTGTTTGGGGCCTGACCACGCCGTGGACGGCGTGAAGCCTCTCCGTCCTGCACTGCCTGCCGGGTGCTCCCACGGCTCAGACGCCAGCACCAATGGGAACATTTCCAGGCACACTACATCTCACCGCAGGTTGATGAGACGGATGACCAGGTGGAGCTTGATGTGGTAGAGATGGTGGACCAGGATGTGGCCGGGGAGGTGCCGTTCACGTTCGCCATTCCAGCGCGGATGGCTCCGTTTGTCGAGGAGGTGGATGACGAGGACCTACAGCACTTCAAACCCTTACTACAGGGCAAACATGTGCTGGTGCGGAGCCACAACCCCACCACAGTGGCGTACATCAACAGGCAGGGCGGAGTCCGCTCCGCCGCCTTGTTGAGCACAGCAGAGAACCTGTGGTTGTGGGCCTCAGAGAATGTGTTGTCTCTGAAGGCCCTCCACATCCCGGGGGTGGCGAAGCAGATCTGGGCCCAGTTCGGGAAAGCGGAGGTGGACCTGTTCGCCAACCAGCGCAACAGCCACTGTACCCTATGGTTTTCCCTGGCTCGGCAGGACAATCCACCCTTGGCGGTGGACGCGTTTGCACACGAGCCAGGCCAAGAAAGCTGCTCTACGCCTTTCTACCGCTGCGTCTCATGCTCCTCCTCCTGGAGAGGTTGAGACAAGAGCGATTGTCAGTCATCCTGGTAGCCCCAGATCGCCGCTCGGCGCCGTGGCACGCGGAGGTGACACAGATGATGGTGGGCCAGCCCTGGACGGTTCCTCAGGTCTGGGGGGCGTTGTCTCAGGAAGCAGGTGCAATAGGGGCATTACCCACTCTGGGCCAACCTCTCCAGGCTTGGCTCCTGAGAGGGACAGGCTGAGACGAGGTGGACTGTCCAAGGTTATTCAGACTATCCAGGCAGCAAGAGCAGGATCCACCACAGCCTGTTACAGGACGAAGTGGTTGGGATTCCAGCGGTGTGAAGAAAGGAGTCTAGAGCCTCTATCCTGTACGTTGGGCTCTATTCTGTCCTATTTACAGATACTGGTGGACAGGGGGCTTGCTCATTCCACAATTAAAGTGTATGCAGCAGCCATCTCGTCCTGCCATGAGGGTTTTGGCAGCAGGTCAGCCGCTTATGGCGCGTGCTCGAGGCTTTGGTCACAGAACTATTTGAGCCTCTGGAGCTCTCCTCCCTAAAGGTGCTATCATTGAAAACAGCTTTGCTGCTTGCCTTGACTTCGGCCAAAAGAGTGTGCAAGCTGACCGCTCTGTCGGTGCACCTGAGTTGCCTTTTGATTCGGGGTGACCGTAGCGGGGCGACACTCAGACCAAACCCCTCCTTTATTCCCAAGAACCTAAGGAGTTTGTTCAGGTCGAGGGCTATACAGTTAGACGGCTTTAGTCTTCCACCCCATACTGGGGACAGGGAGGCTAAATTGCACCTCCTCTGCCCAGTTTGTGCGCTGGCATGTTATGTAGGGCACACGGCTTCCATTAGGCGCACTGAACAGCTGTTTGTGTGCTTTGTGGGGATGGTGTGGCCGGTAAAGCTCTGTCCAAGGAACGCCTGACAGGATGGCTCTGCGAGTGCATTTCACATGCCTATGGGCAGGCGGGGAGAGCCTTCCCCACTGGGGTCCGTGCACACTCTACACGTGGTATGGCTGTGTCAACAGCCTTGTTCAACGGCGTGAGTGTGGAGGACGCATGGTGGCGTCTTGGTCTACGCCTGGCCCCTTCATAAGGTTTTGTTTATTGGACATGTCTGGCTCCTTTTCATCGTATGTGCTTGCTGGGGCAACACAGGACTGGTGAAGGGGGGGGGGGGCAGGCTGTGGGTCAGTAGGCTGTATCTGTGCGCGCATTCAGGTAGGCTCGCCCTGATTGGCCGGCTACGTTTATACAACTTCAGTGTGTGAACGCTCGCGTATCATTGATGAGAGTAGTACCCATAGAGTCGGCTCCGCCTGTGCTTATAGAACTAGGGTTACAATACGTAACCCCCCGTTTTGTTTCATGATTTCAGAACTGAAACGTGCTGCGGGAAGAAGACGATCGTTTGTACCGACAAAGCATTGAAATGAGTTCTTCAGAAGAGGTGAAAAGGGAATTCTTTTTTTTTTCGCATACAAAGTGCATTCTCTCCAAATCAGGTGCTTAGTCCTGTCATTCACTTGACTGCGTGGGATGGTGCATGTAGCATAAAACGTCAGAAATAAGACTACTACTGATCCGACCCACGGTTTGTGTTACCATTTTTAAATAACTTGCTTTCTCTGTTGGTGCTCCTGTGCTGTGCCACAACTGGGGCTGTCAGGAAGTAATAGATGATGACGGGGGTCAAAATAAAGTTTGAATTGTGCTATTTCTGTTCTTATTAATATTTGTAGAGTATTCTAAAATCTTCATTATAATTTTACAAATGTTATTGCAAGAAAAAATAAACGACAAAGCATTTACAGATAAACCCAAACAGTAGCCACCTCAGTGCTGCGTATTAAATCAAGCGCTCTCTAAACGTAAGGCCACAGTGCTAGAGATGATTGACTTCACTTTGATGGAGCGTCATCCGGGTGGCGCTCTGCTCCAACTGACTCTGGCCTTTCAATCCTCAGTTACCGGCGGCCAGGTGCCATCAATCAGTGCTAATACAGAGAAAGGGAGAATCATTAAAGGGAAATACACATAACAAGGACAACAGGGACGCAGGGGTCGTCACCCCCCCCCCCCCCCCCCCCCCCCCTTAAAGTCGGTGTCCCTAGGACCACCGGCATACCAATCAAAAACAAACAGAGTAATAAAAAACAAAAATATATATACTGTAACACATACATATGCCACCTTTTCTCAAGGAGAACCACACTTTTAACATACCACCTTAACCCTCTGGAGTCTAAGGGTATTTTCTCGATTTTTAGATGTTTCCTTAAATCACCTTTTAAATGTACTTGTTGGCACCCCATGTGTTGCATATCAAAATGTTCAGGGCAATCTCTGGTCTTGCTATAAATGCAAATTACTCACCTTAGAGCACTGTGCGATGAGATAAGTAGCTCTAAAGCTTAACATTTGACATCCGATTTTCGGAAAATCTTCAAAACTCTTGTGAAAACACAAATGTACTAATTTCATCCAATTCTTTGGGTGTTTTAGCTTTGGTTACCAAAGTCTAAGGATCACAAAAGTAGTGAAATATTTGAATTACACTGTATATAAATGTGTAATTCATGTCTAAAATTAAACAAATTAAATTCGAATTTTGAGTAAAATAGGTGTTTATCACTCTACTTTCACCACAGCAGGGACTGAGATACATTAGGACTGAATAATGACTTCATATTACATACAGGTTCATGTGATGTGTACAAATACAAATTGAGCATTCAAACTTTTTTTTTCAACCAACAATTTATTATAAATGTGTTTTTTTCAACCAACTATTTATATAAATATAAGAAACTGGAAAATCTCACTATTTACATAATTGAACATCGGAACTTTCAACCAACTATTCATTATAAATGTCAAGACAGTGTCAAGGTCTTTGTCTGTCTTCTAAAACAGTGGGTCTGGCTGCTGTGTATAGGTGGGGGTGATGGTGCATGGGCTGCTGTGTAGGTGGGGGGTACAAGTGCTATACGAGTCCTCCACGAGACCTCCTTGCTGGCTGGGTTGATGGTGATGGCTCTGGTGGAGCCTTTGTGCTGAGGTGTATCTTGACCTTGAAGGCTCTGGTGAAGGCCCTTGAGCCACGGTAGATCTTGACCTGGGGGCAGGCACAGATGGATGTTCTGGCTGCTGGATAAACGCCATCTGTGGGCCAACTAGGCCCAGGCAGCTGTGAAACATCTCTGTAAAACAAATTGAAATGTAGGACAATAATTACTACTAATTTCATTGAAATAAAGTTCAAGTAAAATGTTGCTCAAGCACAGATAACAATGCACACATAAAAAGAAAGTTTGGGAGGTGGGGCAGGAGTCTCTCTCTCTCTCTCTCTCTCTCTCTCTCTCTCTCTCTCATCTGTACAGAACAGTATAATAAAATAATCACAGGCACACATAAATACATCTATGACAGTTTCATCTGTACAGAACAGTATGATAAAATAATCGATGGCAAAAACATGTCTATAGCCACTGTAAATGTCTCCGTTGTGGGACGAATACATGATTATTTGAATCATCTACACATGTAATCTCACTTTTACACACCAAAATAACGTTTACACATAAAACATGTTAACACAGAGTAAACGTTTGCTAATGGAGAGTCTATTTTGTCCAAAGAAAAAGTTCATGACTATCGATAAAAAAATATATATCAATAAACCTATTGTTCATTTTCGCTGTATTCCCCACACATTGCAAGTACATTATTTCTGTAATATTTACACTTACCCATGTCCAAATGGATCCTTGTTGTTGTCTTTGTATTCTTCATCTTCAGAAGAGTCGAAGACTTCAGGTTCTGAGGCTCTATCTTCACTGCTGCTAGCGAAACAAATCTCTAGCGAAGTCGGCAACTGTAAAGTTTTTTTTAGCCATTTTCTCTGTCTCTCTCTCTTCCTCACAGACGTAAACTGATGGGAGACACGTGGTTTATGTTTTTTTTTCTTGGTGGGGAGGTCCTTAGTGATTTCTCGATGTCCATTGGTCATTTCAGACCAACATGGCTGCCGGCCGAGATTTCCTTGGCGGACACACGAATCCACCAATCCCACACAGTGTAACGCGGAGTCAAGCTGCTTTGAGCGGCCATATTAGCTGCTGTGCCCTGGTTACAGTCTTACAGCAGGTACCGCTGGAGAGCTAAACTTCAAGCGATTCCGCGGATATCTGAATCATATTTCTCCTTATAATCGAAAATATATGATTAATTACGTAAATTATGCACACCTGGACGCACCGGCGTGTCCACCGACTCCAGAGGGTTAATACTCTAGCTACCAACCACATCTTCAGCAACACAAGTACCTAAGAAGCAAATTTAAGAAGATGGGCAGAGCGAGACAGGTGAATACCTACAGCATAAACGACAATATATCAAATGTGAACTCACACTATAGTTCCAGTCCAGTCTGCCCCCACAAAACAAATGTCAAAGATACGCCACATCAGCTCTGCCATTTTGCCACACCCTGACCTTGGCAGGCGAGGAAACAAACCGTCCAAATCACACACAGCCAGAACTCAGCAACAGGCAAAACATGTTCAAAACCCCTGTGCGAAGAATAGTCACAACGTTGATCCTGGAAAACCCCACTCCGAGACAGAGACAGGGAAGGCTCGGACAGAGCCATCGTCCAGAGACAACTCAGGATCTGATTCGGCCACAACACATGCGCTCTTGCAGGACGAAGTGACATCATAGGATCCGGTGTCCCTCAAGATTTTAATTGGGACTTTCACATCACTATTGACCAATGAAACAAAACCATCAGGGGCATAAGATGCCAAAACATTGGGGCTACAGAAGTGAGATTTAGGCACCTCAGAACCAAAACAGCCTTTTACAGGGGCAGTGAATGCAGTAAGCCTAACACCACTTATCACTCTCCTGTTTCTAGCTCTTAGAACAGGAAAGTTTGCCTTCCAATGTCCTTCCTCATGACAATAGTTACAGTCATTCACATTTCCAAACTGGGAGTAGAACCATTACCTCTCTCGCCACTGGGAAACACAGAGCGCTCTCTGAAATTGCTCTTATGGAGCAACACAAACTCATCGGCTGCCACAGCCAGCCTTAGCAGCAGAAGTGACCTTTTGTTCTGTTACTGTATGTATGTGGCAATGCGATCTGTAAGAACATTTTTTAACTGTTCTATAATTAGTTCACACAAATCATCAAAAGAAGTGATGTCAAGAGCAGTTAACCAACGCTTAAAATGAATAGACAAATCCCTCGCCATCTCCACATACGTTTGACCTTGTTTTTGTTCAATGACCTAAAACGCTGTCGATAGGCCTCTGGCACCAGGTCATATGCTCTAAGCACAGCAGATTGTATTCTACCATAGTTCGAACTATCCTCCAGACTTAAAGAGGAATATGCAGACTGTGCTCTTCCTGTGAGAACACACTGAAGCATCAGAGCGCAGTCTGCATCAGGCCAATCTCTAGCCTTGGCTACACGTTCAAATAATACGAAAAACGTGTCAGGATCACTTTCATTTTTTTTTTCTCATACATAATTCTGTCATGATCCAGCTGCAACATTAATATTTCTTTCTGCTGCTCAAAAGAAAGTGCACTAGAATGAAAAGGAGGCTTTGAAAAAACCTCCCCTTTCTCTGCAGGAAAAACTCTCATCTCAATCAATCTCGATATTATAGTCTTTGATGTTTTCTTTCACCCTTTTGTCACCCAAAATAGACACAGAAAAATGCTCAGTAATCAAGAGCAACTGATCTTTTGTGAAAGTGCCAAGAGACTCCTGAGATGGAGCTTCAATCAATGCCTCTATCTCAGCCATGTTATTTTAAGATGACAACTCACAAGAGCACAGCACCCGACCTTTAAACTGAAAAAGGACCGGAGAGACACCACAGCGTTTATTATGCGCACAAAGTGGAATAATACACAATTTTGATTGGAGTTTCCCCGCTAACTACTCACCCTCCCACTGACTAATCTCCGCCCTAGTCTTCATGCGGTTACTTGTGGTGGTATTTACGCACTGGAGACCGCTGACAGAGCAAAGCGACTAGCAGGCTAGCAACCCTGCTGAAACCACGGCCATGCTCCCAAGCCGAAGCTTCACCCACTTTCGCCGCAACACTACACACCCAGCTCAACGATCCCAAGGGGAACGCCGCTAAAACCTACAAGGGAAAACTGCACCGCTCCACACACAACGAACCAACAAACAAACAAACAAACAGCTAAGAACAACTGGCAAACTCTCTCCTCAAATGTAATGCAAAACAAACCAAAGCCTCGCAAAGTAATTTAATTAACCCAAACAACGATATAAAATATAGTGTCCTTACCACAAGCGGCGTAATGAGCAGAAACAAAAGAGCCGGCCGCACTGCTTGCGCCCGCAACAAACTTTTACGCACACCAACTTCCTAACACGACTCACACATACGGCAGGCTACAATCACCGTTCTTAAACTAACAAAAAACATGCGGCTTAGCTGTTTAAATCAACACCAACCACAAATAAACAAATGACTAAATCGCCCGACTAGGTACTCAAACAAAAGAAAAGCCGCATCAAAACATAACAAATCCGGCAGGGGTCGTCACAACACAAGACAAGACGTAAGAACACAAGACTGTGTATCATCTTATCTAGCCTCTTAATGTTGCTCTCGAAGTAAACCTTTGAAATGCTAAATTTAGGTTGAATATATATTATTAATCAAAATGTATATTATTTATATGTTTATGATGGTGCAGCGCTTATTTTTATTTTAGCAGGGTTTTAGCACAGCATGGAAGTGAAAGCAGTGCTCTACTTATTTAAAAGTGAAAGAGCAATAAATGCTTTGTCACTTACACCAATGAATATTCGTCATAATCCTGATGCCGTATTGATCAAAAATAATTTGGATTATCATTTTGGTCATAATTGTGATGCGTGTCTCTGGCTATAGGGAAGTAGTGACACCTACAAGCTTAGGTATTTATTAAGCTATTATTTATCTGTTATGTATTACATAGCAAAATGGAAATAAGAACATGAGGACCATCTGCTTATTTGTTTATGAATTGTGTCATAAATGTTATATTTGTGTTTCAATTGTAATCACTCCAAGTAAATTGGGGAAATGTATGTCTTTTTATCAAGTCAGCCACTCAGACCTTAATTTCTCTTCCTCTCTTTTTTCACTTGAATCAGGCAGAAACTGACAGGAGCAGAAGTCATCAGTGTCAGAAGTGTGGGAAATCTTTCAGTCGGATCTGCAGTCTCAGAAGACATGAACTCACTCACCCTGCAGAGGAACCGTACCAGTGTGAACACTGTGGCAGCACTTTCAGCCAACTAAAGACCTTCAAGCTACACCTGCACACCCACCTTGAGGAAACATCCTCCAGCTGCGACCAGTGTGGGAGGCACTTCAGCAACCAGAGTTCCTACAGGAAACACCTGCGGGACCACACCGGACCATACCAGTGTGACCAATGCCAAAAGACTTTCAGTTACTTTAGTATTTACAAGATACATATGCGTGTACACACTAAAGAAAAGCCTTACTGCTGTGACCAGTGTCCAAAGAGTTTTAGTTTTTTAAGTTCATACAAGCGGCACAAGCTCAGCCACAGTGGAGAGAGGCCGTATCAGTGTGACTTTTGTGGAAAAAGTTTCACTCAGTCAGGGCATTTCAGTCTGCATTTGCGTAACCATACTGGCGAGAAACCATATGAGTGTGACCAATGTGAAAAGACTTTCAGTGACTTAAGTAGTTACAAGATACACCTGCGTGTCCACTCAGGAGAGAAACCATACTGCTGTAACCAGTGTGGGAGGAGTTTCTCTCAGTTAGGTAATTACAAATCACATCAGCGTATCCACACCGGAGAAAAGCCTTTCCGCTGTGAACTTTGTGAGAAAAGCTTCTCTATCTCAAATACTTACAAACAACATGTGCGTACCCACAGTGGAGAGAAACCGTTTCAGTGTAAAGAATGTGGGAAAGGTTTTGGTCGACTAAGTAACTACATGCGTCACCTTCGTATTCACTCCGGAGAACAGCCATACAGCTGCGACCAATGTGGGAAATGTTTTAACAGCTCATATAGTTACAGCCGGCACCTGCGTGTGCACACCGGAGAGAAACCGTACTGGTGTTCACAGTGTAAGAGGCTGTTTACACGCTCTCAGTCCTTAAAGAAACATCGCTGTGTCGCAGTAGAGGACGAGAGTTCCACTGTGTGTAAACAAGAAGCACAACCGAGCTGCTCACCAGCAGATCCAACAAACAACAACCACCAGCAGCCTGTACAGTAAACGACAGCGTGCATGTTCATGGTACTGAAGGAGATCGTCACCCAGTTCAGCAGGCTTACTTGTTTGTTATTGTTTCTCGTCAAAAGTGGAGCTCTATCTAAGGAATAAGATACAGTATATAAAGCTTTGGACCCCACGCACAAAAAGTAAAGTACATGATCCGTTGGTTCTGGTCTTCATGATGTCTGTTGACATCAAAGATGCAATATTCAGCATTTTCCTAAAAAATCATGGGATGGACTGTTTTTCTTTTCCATCTGCCTAAGTCTTGAGCTTCCCCTTATCAATAGCTACAATCCCAATTTATCAGTGATCAATTTTCTTTGCAACAACTTATAACAACAGGGTATCTGCACATTTTAACATATTTGACTTTTAGGACCCTTTTTAATAAGAAAAGGTTAAAATATCTTTGCTGCATCAACTGGACAACACGAGTAGGGATGCATCGATTTTGGAATTCATTGTTTTTATTGATACCCATTCTGTGCGAGTGAAGAGAAGACATCGTCATGAAAAACGGAACCTTAAAATCTAGATTTGGGTTGTAGACCCTACTGCTAAAATTAGCATCTCTGTGGCAGGCAGCCACATCTCATCCCAGATGTGAGGCACTTTTGAAGGAAACATGTCTTACTAACTGCATGGCTCTGATCTTTCTCTGAGACAGTTTCAAACTGCCATGGGGCGGATGTTTTTAATTTTAATTTATCAACAAACAATTTGCTTTTACGTCATTCCAGAGTCTTGTCCACTTCTTCTCCGGATCAGCATCTTGGTATGCCTGTTGAGTCCAACTGCAAAATAAATGTTTCCGGTGTACAATTGTATGAGACTCTGAGCCACGGTCTGCCGGTATGTGTGATTTGATAAACCTTATGCTCCGTTTATGTGTAGATGTAGAAAATATTAATGAAAAAATGATCAGAGTTGCAGCTGGACTGGTGTCCATCATAACACTGTTGGGTCCTTTCACATTTGTAAGTATTGTTGAAGAAAGGAAGCAAATGGAACAATGTATTTTATTATATAAAGCTTAAATATGCTAAAAACTGTGTTAAAACTCTGAATGCCATAGTCATGTATCGTATAGTTTAATGCTTTAGCAATATAAACAGGATGTATAACAAAAATCCTTAAAAACCTATAGTACGCACTTCCTCTTTCGAGGAGATGAACTTTCTATGCACTGCCCCTTTCGAGGAGAACATCTGTTATGTATTTCCTCGCTGGAAGTGAACAGTTAACCACAGCAACGAAGAAGGACACCTCTAAACGCACCAGCTTGCACGCAAAGCATGTGACAAACTACGTGTCAGACCATGTGACAAGCCGCGGGAAAGAGGAGGATAAAAGAAGACTGAAGAACATCGGAGAGCAGTTCCTCTTTGAACCCAGTTCGAACTTGAACTCTCCTGCTTTAGCAAGCTACGGAAGACGATCGTATTACTTACTCGTATTGAGGCAAAGATCTCAGATATAATATGTTTCTGGGTAAAACGCATTTCAATTTTTTATTGATGCGTGGTGTTATAACTTGTGAAACTTTAATAAAACTACCTGTTCACATTTGTGAGAGGAAACTAAAGTCCATGTAGCCCTTCTGATTATTGTTGGATAGGTGACAATTCAGATGGCAATGTAACCTGTTCCCACGTAGCTTGAGTCCTGAGTCCAGTTTGATTCCAGTGTCCTGTTCCTTGGCTGAGGATCAATCCCTTGCAGAGACACCAGAGAGAACAATAGGTAAGTTCCCCCCTAAGATAGCTCTGTTGCTGGATTCTATGTCATATTGGAGGTCGCGTTCATTAAGGTCTGTGTTTAAAGTCTAAAGGGAAAAACTAACAGGTTAAAAGTTGATATATGTGTAAAACTGATGAATGGAGGTAGTATAGAAAGAAGGGAATTTGTCTGTACCTCGTGGTGGTGTGTGGGTCACACCTTTTATGCCCGGTCTGAGTAAAAACTGTAACCTTTTAACAGTAGTCAATTACCTGAAATGTAAATATATTAAAGCTCCCATGTCATGCTTTTCCGGTTATTACCTGTCCCCTTGTGTGTTATGAAGGTTTTTATGCATGTAAACGGTATGCAGAGTCAAAACCCTCAAAGTACACCCTGTAGCGAGTAAAACTCTAACACAGAAAATACCTCCCCAAAACGCCTCGTTGGAGATACGTCACTGCCCATTTGAGTCTTCCATTTAGTTCCGGGTACGGCATGATGTCATGCGGTACCCGGAACGAAATGGACCAATCCTGAAGAGCTATGGCCACACCCAGTGGCGCTGGCCGCACCCTCTGCCAGCCTAACATTTACTGTTGGAAGCTCTGGTTCAGTTCACAATCAATCCAGTCATGCCAATGCCAAGGACCTGTTTCCTGAAATGTGAGGAGAAATCTGAGCTGTTTGTCCTACCGACGGAAGAACCACGACGAAGTCAGTGGTTGAAATTTCTTTTTAACACTGTTCCTTCAGAGGTTCGAAGAACCGGCATTTCACAGACGAAAGCTTCCAAAACATTGCCCAGTTTGAGGCCGGATATGCACAGCATTTGAAACTGAAGGACGATGCTATTCCTAGTTTGTTTGGACCGTTTGGAGCAGGGGAAGATTCGGGTACACAACCTGTAAGTTTGCATTGTTATTTGTGTATTTATCAAACAAGGTATCTACCACGACTGTTTAAATGTGTAAACATGTTTCGGACTGCTAAGCCAGTGCTAACTGTGCTAACTAAGTTGCTAGCGTTTCCATATCAACTCTAATATCAGCAGATGGCCTTACATACATGTATCTCATAGCAGGAGAATGTCTGCATTCACACATGAAATACTCATAGACAGTATACTCCGGGTGATTTGCCGTACGGTCAGTCGCGAAACGTAATTACATTATAGCTGGCGTAGCGTGTATGCTACCGAGCTAAACAACAAGGCTACTAAGAGCTAGACATGAGTTTGCTCGGAAACATTTTTTTTTATGCCAGCTACAATGAATGTAGCAGACTACCCATATAAGATTGCAATTGTAAACATGTGCTTGATAGCCTAATATGAACCACTATCTGTTGTTCATAGTATAGTATAGCATATTGAACAACTGAACAACTAGCAAACGTAGATTAGCATTGTAATCCAGCTGGCAAGCTGACGAACATCAAACAACTAAGTTTATTTCACACTTCCAGCAGAGACAACAGGGAAATCCCCTCTCTTTGCCCGCTCACAGACCCCCAAAGGACTGTACATTACAGTTAGCTTTCCTCCGACGCTGATAGCATGTATAGCTAACGAGGCTAGCTATACATGCTAGCGGGAAACATTGTATGACCGAACATATCGTGTTTGCTATCAAGGTAAACAAGAAAGCTAGGTTAGCATATTAGCTGGCAAGCTTACTGTGTTGATTATATAGAAACATTGTATGACCGAACGTAGCAGACTACCCGTATAAGATTGCAATTATAAACACGTTATTGCTAGCCTAATATGAACCACTAGCTTTTGTTCATAGTAGTTTTATTACTCTACATTATAGTTGCCGTTCCTCCGAGCTAGCGTTCATATTCTGTTAGCTACCAAAGTAAACAAAGCTAGGTTAGCATATTAGCTGGCAAGCTTACTCCACACTCCTACCACAACTACTACTAACGAATCTAAAACAACTAAGTTTCTCTAATATTTTGTGATTTGCATTTGATTTCGTCCAGCCAGATCCTGCCGGACAATACATGACGGGACTACCACACTGATGCATCGTCCTAAAAAGCCCCGGCTGCGATAGGCAAGATGCCGACAACGGGGAGGAATTGATGATATACCGTGTATATATGTATATTTATGTTCATTTTGTACATTTCTAAAAATAAAGTTTAATGGAAATACTTAGTAGGCCTATCCTTTCTTCCCTGAATTATTTGCTCCTATAACTTATCATTCATATATAGCAAACCATGATTTGATTTCTCATCAAACAGTAGTAGTTTATTACAGGTAAAAATAACGTACTCTTTGTTATGACCGGCTCGTAGGCCACACCGGAAAGACAACGAGACATACACGAGTTTACAAAACCACGGCACATTTATTGTGGTAAATGCAGAGATAGGTGGTCGAGGGGAGAGGATCGCCGAGTTCGTCCTTCTGCAGCCGCTTTGGAGAGAGACAGGGGCCGCCGTGTGACTCCGGGCAGCTGGGCTTAATAGCACCTCGGCTCCGGCCAGGTGTCCGTGATCGCGCTGATTAGCCTCTTCAGCTCCACCCCATCGTAAGACCTGCAACACACCTGCACAAAGGCCCTGGGGCCTTCACACTCTTCTATAACAACAGTTGTAGGTACAGTTCAGTTAGTTAGCGTATAAAATATACGGCTGTACCGACGCCATTATAAGACTGATGTTCTGAGAGCGAGCCGAAAAAAGCACTGTTAGACATGGGCGGAGCCTCTCTGGTGGTTGACTAATCAGAACAGAGTGGCCGAGCTGACCAATCGGAGCACACTAGGCTCACAGGGAGGGGGGGGGGCAAGAGCTCCAACGAGTCGTTTAGTGGAGAGAGTGAATACTGCTGAATACACATACTTTACAGAGATGCTGTATGCGAAACCAATGTGAGTTTGGAAAATTGCACAGTATAAATCTATTTTAGTATACCTCAACAATGTAATTATGATCAGTGGAAATGGCCATGGCATGGGCCCTTTAACAAACGGCACACTATTACGATAAGTACTGTACCGTTTATTATGTAAAGTGTAATGTCTGTCTGTGGACCATGGAAGATTGAAGTCACTAATTAATTGGCTACTAATGGAATATTGAAAACCTAATTAAATGTGTCTTTTTATGAGGTGTTTAAATGACCGAATACATACATGAACATCACAATGTTATAGATCAGTCCAGGCCCTGACCTATTTGCTGCCCTTGGAAATATTTAAATCATTTTAAAGTTAAATGTTTTCAATCTGGTGCACTTTGAGGGCAAAATTAAGAAACTACATCTAGGGGGAACAACTCTCAAAACCCATATGAAAAATATCTTTATACATTTCAATAATCACAAATTATTAGAATATGGCCATAACATACCTATAAAACATAAATGTAACTTATTTATTTTATTTTTGTTGTTCATTTATAGTGGTGAGCGTGCAGGTCCTCATCTGTCTCAGAGCCTCTCCCATATTCATGCTTATTTTAACAATCACTAATCGCTGTTATTTACACAATGTGTGGGCGCTGTATGCAATGTACAGCGCCCATACACTGTGGGCCTAGTTTTGATGTTATCTAATATTTATATAAATAAATACTAAAAGTTAAACAATTTATTTTCTTCCCTATTTGCGGCGCCCCCATAGATGGATGCGTCCTTCGCCCTGGATCAGCCTAAGAGGACAGGTTGGTCAGTCTGTGGCTCTTCAATGCGCTTTAAATGAATTTGTTATTCAGATTATTTGGTCAAGGTTGAAAACAGTTCAGTTCCTGCAAGCCTGAGGTTATAGAATATATATATAATTGGAGGGATGAAACCCTCTTTAATGGTCACACATGCAGAGCACACAGCACACACAGTAACATTTAACCCATGCAATAGCTGCCCACTACTAGGAGCAGTGGGCAGCTATTGCACTGCGCCCGGTGAGCAATGGGGGGAGTGTCCGGTTCATTGCTCAAGGGCACCACGGCAGGGCCCAGGAGGCCAACTGGGACCTCTCCAAGTAGCAGTCCACACTCCATATTTAGGTCGGTTCGGGGACGACCCTTTTTTTTTATCTTTTATTATCAAAAATAGACATTTAACAGTTCATCACAATTACATAAAGTACTTTCTGCATATAATGTATGAAACGCATACAAAAAATGACATATACTGTCATTATTTCACTGAAAAGTAGTGTGTCTTATGTCACTTTTCAAAGTTGAAGCACAAAGCTCCCTCCTCATCCATCTCAATTAATTTGCTGCCATTTACAAAATCCTCACAAAAGATGTCCTTTTTCACGTGTATGAGAACAAGGTTTATGTCCCTTTTTGTTGTCCTCTTCATTATGTGCCACACGTCAGACATTTTACCCTCGAAATGGGCAATGTTCCTCCTTATCTGGACTGCACGCCTGGCGTGGCTCAGAACATAGTTTAATAGATTCACATTGCATTCATCCTTCTTCTCAATCACACCAAACAGCCACAGCTCCTTCCAATCCATTTCTCTCACATACCATTCATTCCAACATCTACCAATTAACTCTTTCATCCTTCCAAAAAAAACACCAAGCTCTCTACATTCAACAAACTCATGCAAACATGTTTCAACCTGGTCTCTACAAACATCACACTCTCTCTCAACAGTTTCCTCAAAATGACTAATTATCAGATTGTTACACACCCTATTATGTCTCAACAAAAAATCTAAATTTTCACATTCAATACTGTTCCATTTAATTTTCACATTCTCCCACATTCTTCTACCAGTCAGACCTTTCACAACACTCGTCCATACTCTCTCTGATGCAGGTCTCCTAATAACATCCCTTTTTAACCATTTATACATATTTTTTGTTTTAACATCTTCTATTTT